CAGAAACATAGGGCCAAGATTGACAATTACATTCCCATCTTCTGAACACATTTTGATTCCAAGGGATATGCCATACTGCCAGCCTGTTGGGGAAAAGGGGGGGGGAGTTGTTTTCAGTGGGCAACTATATGAAATGTAATTGTTGTAATTCCTGATATCCCCACCATTGAACTGGGAAAGGATATTTGGGAAGTGGATTGAAACAGCTGAAAGTTGTCATTGTCACTTGGACATGACAGTAGGTTTGTCCTGTAGTGAATAAGCATTACAGTATTACTGAAATTTGGTGCATGGGGAAAAAACATGTAATTTTTGTTACCTTGTCTCTAAGTATCTAAAGAATTGTAGAATTTTGGATTTGGTTTATCCGTTTTATTGCACAGTGCAAGTTGTGTTTGGAGAAAAAATTATGTAAAATTTCCATAGGTCACGTAATCTTCCACACCTCATATCCCAGAAATTCCTAAAGTAAAATATAAGACACTGATAGTTAAGGGAAGGAACACTTAGAGCACTTAAACCAGATGTTCCATCTACATTGTAATTTCTCAGTGAGAGGCTTTACGGACCAGAGGCTAAGAATAGTGTTAAAAATGTTCTAACTTTTGGCTTTATGAGCATTTCCTTTCTTAATTGTTTATACTTCTCATTACTCTGCTATTCAGCCCTTATTCTTTATAATTTCTGCAGCTCTGCTTTCTCTGTTGTAATTCTTAGGGTTGCAACTCCTGTTTTTCTGTGTTAAACCAGTTTCCTCTTGATGTGCATTCTTCTAAATTACATATTCAAATCAGTGTTCCTCGACTGCAGCGAAGTCATTCACTGTTTAGCTTCCCAGATGTAAATTCCAGATGTATGAGCTGGGGATATGCTTCAGTTTATACAAATTAATCTGTGAAGAATTTTTTTCATAATATTGAAGATGGCTGTCTTCTGGGTTGTAGTGCCATGTAGCGGTAGAAATTTACCAACATTTCAGAGGTATTTGCTGGCTCCAGCTTCAGGGCAATCATTGCCCTGAAGCTGGAAGCAATAAGAACTTTTGAAACATCAGTAAATTTCTACCAGATTACATGGCTTTACAACCCAGAAGATGGCCATCTTCAAACTCGCTGGCATGAGAATATCAAAGTCTACCTTTTTAATATTGCTTCAGTACATATTCAAACTGTGCTCACAGGACACTGAAATATAAATTTTTTTTGAGGTTGTGTACATTTTTTCATTCCTTCCATTTGTTTTGTGTGTTAACATGTAAAATTCATCTGCCTTATAGATATGTCATGATTGGATTTTCTTCTCTTCTCAGATTATGTTGCTTGGTAAATCCGCCCTACATTCTTGTATTTCTGAAAATAATGTTGGTGACATACACAAGAAACTTTATAAACATGGATATAATTAGCTGCTAACGTCTATAGAAATCTTGATGAGAAAATATTTGGATTAGATACCATACCAAAATCAGTAGTGTTTATCTGCCAATTCATCCTGCAGGAATATCGTGTTTTGATGTATGTGTCCTTTAGTAAGTAGTGTTGTCAAGCCCACTGATTCACATGTCTGAAAGCAAGCTCTGGATCTACAATCTTGCATTTCCAATGTATCTACGTGACCCATAAAAATTACTTTAAATTTGCAGTTCTGTTGATCATTAAATGGGTAACATGAAGTATTATAGTGTACTAACTTTGAATGTTACTCAGTAATATGAACATATTTCTTCCTATGTAAATGTATCTTTCAGCCATCATGCTACTTTTGTATATACTGTATGTAAAAAAGGTATATGTATAGTATGATCATATTGTATAATACTCTTATGTGTACAAATCAGTATAAATCAACAGGATAGCAATGAACTGAGAGTCTTTTTTCACCCTTAATTTGATGGGTTTTATTGGAAGTTTGTCCAGAAGCCTGTAACTGTAAAAATTTGAGGATTTAAAAATATTACAAAAATCAGTCACTCTTTTGACATACTCGTGTAAAATAAGCCCTCATGTCATATAAAATAGAGTTTAACATTGGCTTATTAGTTTTTTGTTGCTGTACCACCTGGGAATACAATTGAAAAAAGTGGCTTAACATTTAAAGTTATTTAAAAGTATTAAACATTCAAACCTGAAATTTTAGAATCTGCATATTGTTGTCAATCATTTGTATAGAAATTTTGATACTCATATTTCATAACTCTCATCCTGGGAGAAAATATCATGCCAGCTAGTCTGGTTTCTGACTAAGTACTTCATTTCTATCCTTTAGATGTTAGAAAATGTATTAAAAAGCTGAAATGTTGCTGTTTAGCGATGTTTTATATACATATTTTGCTCAGTTAATATCTAGATTGTAAGTGTAGAAATTAAGAGCAAGGCAAAGCCTTTTTGGTTTGAGTAAATTTGCTTGCAGCTGTTGCTTTTGACATTTCCAATTTTCCTACTACTTGAGCAAAATACTTCTGCAAAACACTAGACAGCCCAGAATTTCAGCTTTCAATATATATGCAACACCTGCTACTATCTAATGGGATGCAACTGAAGTATTGTTCAAAAATAAGACTGGAAAATTGCCGGCAAACTGACCGTAAATAGGTGGCCGACAAATTTATACCTGTTAAGGCAGTACGATAGTACTTTAATTCAGTGACTTATTCTGGTAGAAAAATTTATCTTTACAGAGTTCTTAATTAGGCTAATGTCATGTTAACATCAGCCAAGTAAAATGTTCGTAATTTTGATTAATTTTAATTTCATCATTGCTTTCTTCATTTAAACACATTTGACTGAGGCACTGTTAACATGACAGGTCACTTCATTGCAGTTTCCCCAATACCAATTTCTCTTTTACTTGTGAATATGCAGCTGCATAGTTTTCAAATCAAACCCTAACCATGTAACTGGGGAGGCCCCAAGTTTATATTTTGGTGATTATTACATTTGCCAGCAAATCTGGAAGGTGCCAAGCTATGAAAAATTCAAATTGCTGTATTAGAGGGTTTAGGTTTCATAAAAATATAATTTCTGTAAAGAACAGAAGCTATTGAATTCTAGTTTATTCGAGGAAATTAGTCAAGCAGTCTGCAGTAATTTCTAGACACTCATAAAATGTATGCTCATTTTGAATCTTAGTATTTTAATAATGTGTATTGTATATAAATAAGCAATGCTGCTGCTGATTGATAACCCTTTTTTCCACACCTTCCTGGCTTCAGATGATTCTGAATGTTCGCCTTATTGTAATCACCATTAGCATTGCTATTCTCATAACTGTGCCCTTGGTTAGTTCAGTGTTGTGACCAGAACCCTTCAGTATAGTAACATTTTAACCTAAAAGTACAGTGTACAATAAAATGTAGTCAATTCAAGTGCAGTACGTTTTAAAATGTATGTGCCGAGCTATCCTTGGAGGGAAAAAGAAGTATCCTTTTAATTCAAATGTAGGATATTCACTAGATGTGTTAATTGTATAAAATATAATTATAACATTCTCTATGTATACAACAGGTTGATTTAGGGTACACAGTGTGCAGTCAGAATTGTGTAACTTGAAGAACTGGAAGACAATTCTGACACTTGTTGAATTTTATGGGAAGAATTTTCTACACTGTGCCCTATTTATATTCAAAGGAAATTTTACAGTTCATAGCTTTTATATGGAAAACACAAGTTCATATGTCTTTCACTTGTTTTATATACACAACATAAGTGCATACTTGCATTAGTGATTAATACAAATTCCAAAATTACATGCAAGAGGAACTTACATAATGTGCATATTTTACATTGTTTGTCAGCTATGGAATGTATCCTTCAGTGTCAGTTAACTGGTTGTATTCACAGTGACCTGTATGAAAGCATTCTTGAGATTTAAGAATAATAGTTTCATGTTGGACTTTCTGTCATGGGGCATGCATGAGTAGAGGGCAGCCATGTATTTCAACTGACATTACAGTTCAGTCCTGTAAGACCAATTTCAGAGTCCATCACTCACTGATATAACTCAATTATGTTCATTGTTACTAAAGCTGAATCCCTCACATAAAATCACTTTTCAGAGGATATTAGGCTATTCTCATTGGTTGTTGGTGATGCCACTGATCCAGGAGTATCTTGTTTGGGTGAGGATTTGGAATGTTCTTGGATTATGCTATTTTCTTCAGTTGGCCTGTGGTAGACCTGTAAAGATTTCATGCCTAAAATCTCTGGATTCTCTCTCCAGAACATGTCACCAATGAGATCTGTATAAAATGGAAGGACAACATGACGAAGTTTCCCATCTCCAGGCGTTTTGCACAATTTCCTAATGAGAACTGTTCCTTTACGGAACATTGGTGGCTCATTGTTGTAGTTCAAACCAAACTCTGAAAACAGAAGCTCATTTTTGTCTGATGCCAGTGTTCCACGAAGTCTTTCTTCTGCCTGAAAAATCAGAGCAACAGCATAAGGGAATGCTGCTTAACAGATGATACTTTCATAACTTTGGTGACCAATATAATAAATTCAGTGAAATCAGTTTGTTCTTAACATGGACAAGTGTATCTTGCAATGCAAGAGTCAATGACAGGTAGATTAGCCCAGCATCTGACTTATGTTTGGGAAATACATTTGCTATCCTGAATGACTGCAGTTTTTGTGGTTTTCCTCGGCCCCTACGTGCATGTTAGTATATTGCCTTGAAATAGACCACAACCACTTTATTCACAATCTTCTGTGTTGATTAAAAATAATCTGTGGAGTCAAGATACTGTCATTAACATCCAAACCAAAATTCATTGGCCTATTAAAGGCACCTAATGTTAAGCAATATACAGGTATATTTTCATTGCTCTGTATTTTCTTCTTTGTTTGCATGTTCAAATATCAATGTGGTAAAGGCCTGTGGTTATCAAATTCCAAGGGACTCAAGCCTATAATAACAGAAACACACAAAAATTAGGTTCCATGTTAGATGGCTTCTCTGTTCACATGAACAACAGAAGCTAAAGCACCTCTTACACCAATAACATCAGAACTGCAAACAAACTGAACAAATTCAGAATCATAGCAGCATAAGAACCTTAATTGGGATAGTCAAGCTGTCCCAATCAAGGTCTTTATCTCTTATCATTTTAGAATAATATAATGTGATATGCCAGGTTATGATTGTTCTCTCATAATTCACATTTCATGATACACCGACACTGCTGTACCTGAGTATTTGAAAATCCTTTCTTTAAAACAAGGCCCCAGAATGCTGTATTATATAAATTGTTGACATGAGCATCTGCCTGACGCCAACCCAAATAGTCTCTCAGATTCTTATCTGTTGGATACATCACAACTCGGGCATCAAACGTTGGTGGGTACTGCAACCGAATGGGTCCAAAAAATCCTGTCCAATGAAACACGAAACTTGATGCAAATAAACTGTTCACTACAGTCATCAGTTTCGAAGCCCGACGATTGAAAAGATTAGTATCTTTTCGGAAAACAAAACTATATTCATCACTCTGTCCAAATGCGAGACATATATCTCGGAATTCATCCATTACACATGTAGCAGCTCGAGTCATTAAATTAAGTCCACGAACATCGTTTGGTTTCACATAACCATGTATGTCTGCAAACCTACTAAACCCTCGTCCGTCAATCCTAACCACAATCCAACAGTTCGGTAAGCATGGATCTGGTAGTTCAAAATTTTTAACATATTCGTATTTGCTTTTTGCCATGTTCCCTTTAGAAGTACAAAAAAGTTTTGTTAGGTTATGACTCTCTGCTTTCGTAAACTTTAGAAAGGAAGGATGCAGTTTGTTTCTTAACATTACTAACTGTGTCTATTAGGGCGTCACTTTCATGCTCAATTCTAATTTACAGTTCCTTGCAAACAAAAAATAAAAAATAAATAAAAACAAATTCTTACAACATCGGTTACACAGCCAATATGAAAGTCTACCTTCACAACCCCAGGTTACAAACATTCCTCCACAACAAAACAAACATAACTCAAATAAGTTATGTTCTCTGTGGTAGGTAGGAACATAACTCTAATAACTCTAATAAGTTATGTTCTCTGTGGTAGGTAGTAATCTATGGAAATTACTGGCGGCCAGAATCCAATTGATATTAGCTTTGGACGTATATGTTCTACGTCGGATGGACGTCTGTTTTCTTCTTATTTCTGGTGAGTATTATTTTACTGTTCCATCAAATAGTAGTGGTTAGACCGCTCCTTTAAAGTCTCGTGTGATTATGTAAATGAAACATTGCTTTATTGATATGTGTAATACCGTAACTTACAGTCGTACCATTGACGAAAGGATAAAAGTTTTTTTTTCTTCAAAATATTTTACTGGGTTTGGACGTGGTATTTTAGTTATTTTATTTTATTTATTTACAAGTTCCAGAAATCCAATAGTGGATATAGAACACGTCACAAACTCAAGTATAAAAACATAAAATACATACATTAAAGAATTACATGTAGACAAGCAGCGTACTAAATTCAAGACAATATAATTAGTATTTTTATTACAATAGTTATCCAATTAAGTACTCATCCACCGTGTAAAACGAGTGAGTAATTAAGAAATGCCTTAATGCAACCTTAAACTTTTTAAAATTATTTGAGGTATTCTTAACCTCTGTGGGTAATTTATTAAATATCTTTATACCCGCATAGTGAACTCCTTTCTGATAAATAGTTAAATTGGCTTGGGGTAGATACAAATTTTGTCTCTGTCTAGTATCAATAGTATGAGAGTCAATGTTTGATGGAAAAAGAGTTTTGTTTTGTAATACAAACAATAATAAAGAAAATATATATTGTGATGCCAACGGTAAGATATCTAATTCTTTGAATATATTTCTACACGATACTCTATTGCTACATCCCATCATTGTTCTAATTGCCTTTTTCTGAAGGAGAAAAATAGTGTGACTACTAGATGAATTTCCCCAGAAAATGATGCCATAGCTCATTAAGGAATGAAAGAAAGCATAATAAATTGTCTTTAGTACTGAAATAGACATATATGGTTTCATATTTCTAATTACATAGCAAGCCTTGCTCAATTTTTTAATAAGTAGATCAATATGATTCTTCCAAGTTAATGCACCATCAATCATAATTCCCAAGAATTTAGTACAGAAGATATTATTAATGAAGTTATTATTATAACTTATTGTGACAGTATCTGACATTTTTCTCTTAATTTTAAAATTAATATAATGTGTCTTATTAAAGTTTAGTGATAATCTGTTCATTCTAAACCATCTATTTATATTTATGTAAGCATCAGTAAATTTATTACCTGTTTCATGAGTAACTTCTTAGGAAGCTTGCATGTTTGGAAATGTAGATGAGTTTTATGCACATTGGAATTGACAAAAGCATACATTTTGCAATAAACTGTTTCAAAGGTATAACTTTGCACCACGACGAAAAAAGATCTATAGTGCACTTCCATTGTTTAGCCCATCCTCAATATTACACCTTGAATAAGTGCAATATTCTGCTGGTTGTTACGTATGATGTCACTAAGGTTCAACAGATGAGGTCCAGAGTGACAGATTCCAACTGAAGCAAGGAACTTAAAAAAGAACACTATATGTAAGGCCATTTTATTAGAGTTAAGGCACCTGATGCAAATGGTTAATCAACTAATCTTACCTTGGTGTCCTTTGAAATAAAGTGACCTGATTTAGTCCTGTCACAGATTTAACTATATTCTGTTGAACCATAATAGTTTGTGTTAGTGAGGGCCCTGGAGTAAGGAACTTTGCATGTCTGTGAACATTTGTGAACTTTGAATGTATCAGTAATCAGTAAGTGCCTGTGAGTGAAATTTCAGACCTGTCTTACCAATATATTGGGCAATTCGATACTCATCTGCATCCTAGCACCCATATCAGTTCCCTCTTGTGTTTTGCCAATGCCACCAGGGATGACAGACAGTCCAACCTAATTTTCAATTACCCGAGTCAAGTGCTTTCAGAGCAGCATTACTTTCCAATAAAATATAAATGTTTGTTTTTATTATAGTTTCTATATATATTCTTATTTATTAATGCCTTTATGGCATATGCTTGTACTTAGAACACTGTGTATGTCACCTAAGGCTGAAATTCAGTTTAATCCTTGTGTCATAACTGCATACTCCTACTGCAGTACCTGTTTTTATTTTGGATCCATGCGTATACCATATATGTCTCTCTTTCCTGTTGGGTTGAAATGTAACTTCCCTTTTATCATAATCTAGCAAGATAATTTATGAAATGAGTTGATTGTTATTACTCTATGAAACCCCATTAACACATTTACTGCTGGAATTTAGATTCAGGCAGCACTACTGTCAGATCCCTGGAATGGAACTGCAATAAAGGTAATATATTAATATAATTTCTTCCCTCCTGACGCTATGTTCACGTCGTAGGAGGGTGACTCAGTTCCAGTAGCAGAAAGCTTGTCAGAGTGATTCACAGTTGAGCTCCTTGGCATCTTGATTCTAGCTGAGAAGGTCTGTTTGTCCTGAAAGTCAGTGGCTAATGAAGCCACAGTAAAGCTGTGACAGGCCCAGTAAAACCAGCAGGGATCTCATTCCCCCTGCTGTCTTACATTAAGGATCAAACAGGGTTTTAAAAATCCCCTGATTAACCCTTGTGTAGGTCCTGTAGTTGGCTTCTCTTATGGCAGTAGGTGAGTCCTGGTCTACCAGAAGAATTACATGATAAACTTGTGAGTTTCTTTTCAAGGACAGAACAGTTTTCACCATTGAGCCCCAAGTCATAAGCCTTGAGTCTTAATAGCATTGTAGGATCCTTGATCATAACATTCAAAATTCTAATAGCTATTTTCACTGGCTTAGAGAGAGGCTTTGTATCAGTAACTTTGAGCAATGTCCTTCATGCTGCGATTATCAAAGACTGAGCAGTTCATTGACAGGTTTGCTAGCTTGTGGGTCATTGTGCCACCCAGCATGCTGAAGGCCATGCTTGTAGATAGTGGTTCACAAATTGGAGTCACAACCGCCTCCTTAGGGTCTATGCTTGGATGAGTTTAATATGTTGAACATCATGGTTGTGGATTAGTACTCAGTCTCAAATCACAGTTCAGAAACCAGTTTACTGACATGAATAAATCATAAATAACAAATTATTAATAAATATATTTTCTTATATAGAAGTTTATTGTTCAAATACCTTCTCTGTATAAGTTGTTCAGAAACTTTCTGTGACCACTCTCACAGGTGTAAAAATCTGTAAGTTGAACCAGCTAACCTCATTGAAAAGGTTGTAGACTTTTATCTTTCCTCTTAATGATTCTGTGGGATTATTTCTTCCTCAGAAATGAATGCAGTTCCTTTATTCTGTTATTCCCATACTTCTTGGCAGCTGTGATCCCATCATTCAGGTATCTTCCTACTGGGGAGTCCCCGATTTTCTTCAGTAATTTAATTGGTAGAGGTTCCATTTTGGCCCATTGAGTTCTGGGATAGTATTCAGTCACCATTTGGAGATCCCCTTACAAATGGAAGGCTTATTATGATTGTGGGTGGAGGGTTGTCTGGTGTATGAAGGGATCTTTATCAGTACTTCATACTTTGATACATCATTACCATTCAGCCCTTAGCATGATGCCTTTCTTCTTGCCCTTTTAGGTGTTCAAAACATTCCACCAACTCCCTCTGCAATGAGGATGCAAGGTTTGGAATTTGAGAGAGAATACCAAAGATATGTGAAAATTAACTTTAGATATTTATCATCTGGGTCTACCACTTACTTTAGAACACAGTTTATTTTTAAGAGTATTTATTTTTACATTAACTTTCACAGAATATGTTTAGGACTTGACAAGAGCAATGTTTTACATTAAGAAACAAACATGCATTTAACACACTTACTGTAAACACCGTATTTTGTTAGTGGCAGTGTGAAACAACTAGTGTATATTTTGCTACAATTCCTGAGAATTAGTAAGATATTTTAAGTGATGTATGTTTACATAGCAAGTCATATTACCTTAACAAACCTTTAAGGGCAAAGAGAAGTTACACTTATTCCAATACAAAAGAAGAGCAATGAGAAGTTACACTTATTCCAATACAAAAAAAGCAAAATAACAACTATAACACAATCAATCTAAATGTTGTTTCTGAACAGATACTCTGTTATGAGTATTATACATGAACATGAACTAAATATATTCCTTAATTTACTGGCTTTTTATGTATTCTTAGCATTAAGTACACAAAATGAATGCACACAAGCTTGATTGTGTCTTAATCAGTCCACAATTAGGGTTGGTCTCATGTTTCAATTTTAGTGCTGTCATACTCACAGTGTTTTCTGTCGTGCAGGTGATGTCATTTATAGATCATTTCTATACTTGAATAATTAACTTTGGTAGTTGGAATTATTTTAATCAGTTGAACTTTTTGGATTTCAACTCAAGAACCATTAGATGGACTTAATTAAATTTGATATGAATGTTGGAGGCCACCCTAAACTCATACTTTTCTACGATTGGTAACAACATGGTGGATGCAGAAACTTATAATTTAGTAATTTTTTTCATTGAATATAAGACAATATTGTGTCTGCATGAAATATTATATTTAGCTTCTGGTTTTATGAAGATAACTAATGAGTCAATGGAGCTAGGCTTTTCAAATTTGGTGAGGAGATAAATCATAAGCATGCTTACATTATAGAATATTTAGGAATGAAATAAATTTTTGATGATATGTGCATTTTTATATTATGTACTAATTTTGCAGACTCTATTTTTATAAAACTAGACAAATACCCATAAGTGGGGAATGTGCACGTACTTTTTACTGTTCATATATTAAAGCTCTTTAACCATCCTAGTGCCACCTGTAACAAGAGTTGGCTATGTTCACACCAGTTAGATCTGATATGATTGTGGAAGATATTTCTTGATATATTCAGCCAAAGAATGTAGGTCAGTTTGTACAGCTGCCCTAATCTTTTCTATAGATTCTTCAATAGCCCTGTCTTCAGCATCCATCATGTCTTGCTTCTTCTGTTGAACACTGTACTCAACTGTTTCCGTATCACATCGAATAAAACACTTGTGGCCGTGATACACCATATAAACCATATGCTGAAACATGACCATCACTTTTTTATTTGTTACATCTAAAAGGCATTTTCTGCCATGTGGCACCACACTGAATGGTGCTTTAATGAAAGGCATCAATTTAACCAGAACATGAACTTATATTGTATAACAACAATTAATATATAGTTGGTCTTGGTTTTCTGTTGCTCAATACATATGATGGTTCCCCTGTAATGTTACTGTTTTCATTTCATCCTGTCAGCAGAGCTTATCATGTTCAAGTTATTGGTAACTGAAATTTCATTCAGTTGGAGTTTTGTGCCATTTTAAATCTCTAGGAAGTGGTCCCAAAGGTGTTCCATCACCTGAATTAAGCTGAATACCAGGATGGTCCCAAAAGTGTTCCATCACCTGAATTAAGCTGAATACTTATTATTTTATATACTGTGTAGAGATTGACTGTATCAACTATAGCATTGCATCTGTGAGAAATAAGAGCTTTGTTTCTTTCCCCTGTGCTTTTCATTGGGTCCCTGGAATATAACCTGTTGGATAAGCAGGTGCTAACCGTTCTGGATTCTGCTTTCAACAAAACCAGTGTAATGGGTATCCACCTTATATCTGCTAACTTACCATCATTGGATGGACTCGTATTTCAATAATGTAAAGACTGTGCTGTGTGAGGTCCACTGCTTTCTGATTCCGATACAGAACAGGAGTGAACAAAATGTCATAGGAGTTAGCTTGCACTTCTGGTATCAAACAACGATTCATGATTCTGTCTATCCCTGAAAATACAAGAAAGTTAAAAAAAACTCTCAATATTAATGGTAGGGAGTGTGATTTAAACCCCTAAAGCCAAAGCTCATCTGAATAATACATAAAAACAAGGTTCTTACTTCAAATAGAACACAATATAGCCCCATCACAAAGACCAGTTGGGTAAATAATCACTGTTTATTTTGAGAATCATATGAAACCCATAAATACATTTTGTAAGCAAAGTGCTTATTTAATGGATATTAAAGCATGTGGTATATAAGGTTACTATTGGGCTTAAAAGTGTTGAACCTATCCAAAGTACATGACAGTGCTATATCTTAATATAATAACTACCTTTTATGTGTTTTTAGCCTGCATTCATTATTTTCTACCTTTTGTGTGTTTTTAGCCTGCATTCATTATTTTATGACAGGTTTATGGTATGTCTCTATGTGGAATCAACTGACATATTTTAACGAAACTTCATATGAACTTCACACCAATTCCCCCCCTTTTCATTATTTTATAATTTATTGCCAACATGGCAGCTGTGCAGTCTTCTTAGGTCCTAAAATTTTATGTGGAAAACATCAAAACATCTTAACAAATTTGAAACTTCTGTTTAGATCAAATTTTTGTAGACTGAAAAGCAACAGCATGATTGCTGCACCCTATTATATACACGTATACATGTCTTGTTAGTGTAAATATGATAAACAAAAGTTTCAAAACAAACAGAATATTGGGTTTGTGCATAAATTGTAAAAACCTATATTTACAAATTTTGTATGAAACATGTTTTATATTAACATCATGGCATGGCTGTAAAATTGTATGTAGTTTATGCCAGTAGGAATTATGCACAGAAATGTACCACTAAGGTGAATAATTATTAATTTATAGTTTCTGTTAGTCTAATCATATAGACTGAAATATTTGAAAGGGGGTGGGTATCAAGTTTTTCTCAGAACTTCTTGTTTTCAGTGTTGTTTGGCGCTGTCTTTGTGTATTGTTTTTTTAATATTCATAATACAAAATAAAAAGTCTGCATGGGTCGAGAGAAACAGAAATAGGATATAAAAACCATTCTTATGTCACAGATGACAGTGATAATCTTCCCTTTCTTGTCATAATCAATATGACACCCATTATGAACACCAGGCCTGCCCAACCTTTTTTGTTATGCCGGCAACTTCAGCAAAATTTGTCTGTATGCAGGCAACATAAAGTTCAATTCATAAAATGTGGAATGTATAAGTATATGTATAATTACATTATATACTTTTATATGCATATTTTTATACATTATATGTAATAAAAATATACTGATAATAAAGTGAAAATTTTGAAAAATGCAATTCACAACCTAGGCTAGGGTGTGTTTATTTTTAACACATTTTTACAAAATGAATTAGTAATGTAATGTATGTCTCCATAAATAAAAAGCACTGCACTAAGAAGCAATTTTCTTTTACTCCCACAAAACACTCAAAATATAAAAAAAGTTTGTATCTAAAACAAAACCCACAAAACAGCTAAAGAGTCAGGGCCAGTCGGACCTATACTGCAAACCCTCCAGCTGAAGAGGTGGGCCCCCAGTTTGAAAATCATAAAACACTGAAAGCTAAGGATTGTCATCACCATGTGTTGTGTTTCACATCACATGGATTTTAACTTGGGTGTGATCTTTTGCACATTAAGACTGACTGTAAGACCAGCAATGAAAATATTAGAAAGAAGCCGCTGCTGGTGCCTCCACATCTGCAAGTCGTTCACTAGAAAACATTACCATAACAATACACGTCAACAATCGTAGACAGTTACTTTAATCCCAGCAAAGAACAACCACTAACAATAAGGATTTTCTATAGGGTCAGTTGGGAATATGGAAGTGGTGGTAAGTTTTCTTTCATAGTTTGCCAGGAAATGGGTGGAATTGCTTCAGCGTTCTATTGTGCAGTTGCCAAGAAAAGGGTTAAAAGATGTTTTCTTATTTCAAATGCCTCCACAGGCATCACAACACTGTCGTTGGTAACATGTTTCCCGCAAGCTACAGGTTGGGCGGGCCTAATGTACACCTTGGAAAATTATAACATTTTTATTCTAATGTCATTACCATTCCTGAAATTATCCTTGTCCTCACGCCCAAGTTTCAGTCCTACAATGATGGAGTCTGCTGACAACCCAAAGAACATGCTACCTTCTACATTATTATTCAGCAAGCCACACAACTTCTGCAACACAAAATTAAATTAAATTACTGGGAATGTAATGGATCAGTATGCCAGCTATTTATAAATCCAACTGGGAGAAAAGTACTGTATGGGATTTGTAATGAATTTAGAATAGTCAAACTTCTTCAAGAAATTGAAATGAATATGCATGATGTATCTAGTAGAATTTGTACACCTGTATGATGCTTTTCAAATTCAAACTACGAATACAAGGGGATATTGATAGTGGCCTTCTGGGTTATGATGTTGTGTTGACCTGCAGGCAGGTAGCAGTGTTTTATAGGAACATACTGCCTCCATCTTCGGCCCTGGTAACCACCTACATGGAATCTCAACCCAGGAGACCACTGTTGACATCTTCACTGCCATGAGACCCTCAAATTTCAAACAAGGGAATACTTCATTCCTACTGATTTTTAATTTTACTCTTGAATATACTGTCAGTATTATCCAAGAGAACTGTGAAGAGGTTTTAAGGTAAAGGAAGAACATGCAATGATTAAATTTGAGGGGGAAATAGTCAAGAAAATGTAATAAACAGAAATAAGACATATAAGATTGGGAAAACCAAAGATGAAGAGATAACTTCAGTGGGGAAACCTGTTGGAAAGTAGCACCTTGGAATAGAAGAATGTTATGGGAGAATAACATTAGGATGGACCTTGGGAAATACTGTGTGGAGATGGGTGATGGATGGTTAGTATCATTTCAGATAAAGATGTTGACCCTTTTGGTTCTACTCCCAGAGTTAGTCAGAGAATGGTGTATTAATGAAATTTTTAAGTGTCCTGAAGTAATAATAATGGAAAAATGTCATAAGAGAGCAGTAGTCACTTTCATCTCTCATAAATTCCCTTGTTTTCATGCTGGTGACCTATGACATGTACCTCTGCAAGCAGAACCTCCTTAATGCCCCACAGCTTCTTCTCTACCATCAATTCATGAGTCTTGTCAGGTTTCACAGTTGCTTTGGTTCCACATATCACATAATCAGTTTCTGAGTCCAAAATAATTTCTTCCATTTGCTTGACCACTAGCAAACAAAACACAAATATGACATGTTATCAGTATGATGTTTAAGTTTTGGTTATTGTATGCTTTTGTCTTATGAAACTTGATTGTTGCCAATGTTCTACTGTATTCATTGGTACATGACAGTTTCAATACCCAAAAAGTAGTTTTGGCACCTACATGCAGTCCTCTGCCACCTCTTAAACCATTTGATTGATTTTCATTAAATTTTATACAAATATTATGCTGTTTGAGGCCACCTTAACCCCATTTTTTATGATTGTGTGTGTCTTTGTCTCTGTGGAACTAGTGCTGCTAATGAACCCATTGTCCATAAGTGAATACACATAATCAGTGGAATGACATCGAACACATCATGCCAGGATTATCAACAAAATTACTGATTTATAGGAGATTGAATTCTTATACTTATTTGCTTTGGCAAGTGTGCATTAGTGTTCATATGCAAAAAATCTAGTTGTCTGTATCTCTCTACAGCAGCATCAGCATTATGCCCTTCTGGCATGACATACATCCCATTATTTTATGTTATGTTGTTGGACCAAATATCTATGATATGCAGATATGCTAATGCCCTCATTACTGATGAGGGAAAGCTTAAGAACTCGGAGAAACCTGTCCCAGTGCCACTTTGTCCATCATAAATCCACATGGACTGGCTGTGGCAGATGCATCCAATTCACATCCATCAAACCTGTTTCCCTAAGATTAATTTTAGTAATATCATCCCATTTATACCTAGGTCATTCTCATCTCCTCATCCTCCATTATTTGATCATCCTAATATTTGGTGAAGATAGTAAATTGTGGAGTTCCTCATTATGCAGTTTTCTCCAGCCTCCTCCCACTTTCTCCCTGTTGGGCCTAAAATCCTCTTCATCACCTTGTTCTCTGACTTGTCTCCACTGTCTTCGGGATGTGTTCATATCAATGTTTCTTTTCTAGCTTTACCCCAGCTTTATTGCATATGTTCAAATGTAACTGAGCACAGACACAATCATGTTGTTGTATATACTGATTAAGAAGGAAGCGGAGAAGATCTTGAAATACAGAGAATGTGGAACGTGCATGCAAAAGTAATCCCAATAATTATAGCAGCAACTGGAACTGTCTCAGTGAACTGCAGAAGACCACCATTTTGGGATCTTCATACATCATTTGAAAGACGCTGTCGTAAAATAAAATTATATAATACATGTAGCATGTGTTAAAAACAATACGTATTCCAGAAATAGCTGCTGCACTATGTACCTTAGAGACAAGGTCTGTCACGGGTACATGGAAGTAAATACCCCATAAAGTGGTGAATAGATGGAATGACAACAACAATAAATTAAAGCAGTTAAAAAATTACATGACTAGGACTCATCTGTATTACTGTCTGGCTGCATGAGTCCAGCACACCAGTCCATGAGATAATTTTTTAACAAACAAATAATGTCTTGTACAAAATTTGTATATATGTTATGATATATCTCAGTACAGTATTTAATATGCCTGCCAAAATAATTCAGTATTTATTGGTGTCAAAAAATTTAAATATAGATTTTGTGCAGCCACCATGTTTCTTTTTTTACATTCTACAAAAATGTAACCAACAAACACTGCATATTTGTTACCAAATTTTAGGTAAAAGGTATAGCCCTGATCTCAGAAATTTATATGACCTGCCGTGTCGGTATTATTAATGGTAGGAAGTTTGAAAGCACGATGTATGGTGGCCTCTAGTAGTGACAAAGTTAATATCAATTTTAATAAAAGTCCATCAGTTGGCCCACAATGTTAGTAGGGAGGAATACACAGGCATGATGATACCAAGGGTGTCATTCCTTATAAAATAAAGGAAACAGGCTACAAAGTGAAGACAACCATCAACAAAACATCATGAACAGCTGAAGATTTTTTGAAGGTTCATAGTATTAGTAAACATAACAAACCTGGTTCTATGTCATCCAGTGGAGGGTCATTACATGGACTCACCAGATCATGGTATGTTGCTGTCACACGGTTTGCAACTGAAGGAGGCTTTAGTGTGTTAAACATTGACAGCCGATGAATAGTCTGTCTTGACTGACCTCCATAATAGATTCTTCTTGCCTTATCATTGTTATCACTCCTGGACATTAACAACCTGTGTTCTGATACTTCTAAGTTAGTTTTGCTATTTGCTTGAAGGCCATCCCTTTGCCACTCCTCAGAATCAGGTTTCCAGTCACCAACAAGGTTATGTTTGCATTTTGAACAAAGGTTCAACATCTCTTGTATTTCACTCTTATGTATGTAATCTGAATTAAAATAATCTTGACTTTCCTTCTGCTGCCTGTGAAATATTTCAGTCTCTGTTTCTGGCTCAGCCTTGGTTGACATTTCTGCTTTTCCTGCAGGGCTGTCCTTTGGATCAATCTCTTGACTTTTATCCAGTTCACTGGTTGGACTGGTTCTATGTGTTTCATGAGAACTTTCCAAATGCCCCTGCACATTTGACTGCTTGTGTGCTGAGTGAGGTGCATTGATGTACCCCTGCATTGAGTCTGTGTCATCTTTAAACTGCCTTCTTTGACTACAACCATATCCACTTCTACCACTGAAGTTCATTCTACCTCTATATCTCATCCCTGTCTTGTCATCAGCTTCTGATCTACCTTGATTGAGACAAGTCACACGATGTCTTTCAAGTCGTGTTCCTCGGTCACATCTATATATTTGTTGGCGGCCATTTCTGCAGTCATATAAATATCAATAATTAATTAAAGGATACCATTTAAACACAAATATTTTGCTCTGAATAATTGCTGAATATTTTATATTACATTCACCAAAGAAATTGTGATAAGAGATGCTATTAATTACAGGATTACTTTGAAAGATCTATCCACTTTTCAAAATGTAATTTGAACAAACCAGTTCTATAAAATTTATTAGTATCAGCTGAAATAGAAACACAGTCTTCCGAATTTTCAAAGGACTTGGTTTAACCCATTCACTGCCACATGTTTTAGGCAAAACAAAAAATGCATGAGTTATTTGAATTTATAGCTTAAGTTATCAATACCATCACAGCTTAGGCCATTCAGCCTTTTCTGTTTCCACATTTGTGGCTGGTCTGCCATAGTTTCATGGTCTGTATACCCTTGTGCTTCTTGCCAGTTTGTATTTCGGAAATTTATGTGGAATTTTGTTTAGATTTATTCTAACCAACTTGGTCTTTTGCTGCAGTAAGTTCTTGTAATATTTCCTTATGGTCTCAATACTTTCATTTTTGCAGAGGTTCAGTCCTTTTTCTTTTCTGAGTGTCATCAACCAAATTTTGAACCCATGTTCTAGTGTTGGGACAGTCATTGTTTTTGGAAAGGTTAATGGGATAACATAAATTTCATAGTCCATGTTTGCTTCTTGTGACAAGACTGTTATTTGCCATGCTGAATTGGAGCACATTCGTGTAAGAAGGGGTGATGAGGAGAGGAATTCAATCTGTCCTGCACTGGAAAGCTAAAGGGAATTGAAGATTTCTTTCTTCTGGGTTGTTGCGCCGTGTAGTCTGGTCGATGTTTACCAACGTTTCAGAGGTCATACTGCCTCTGTCACGTTGGTAAACATCGACCAGACTACACAGCGCAACAACCCAGAAGACAGAAATCTTCATACTCACTGTTGTGAAAACCTCAAATTTTACTAAAGGGAATTGTTATCACCATGGGTCTGTATATGATTCTCCTTCCCTTTGTAGAACTTGAGATATGCAAGTTGCATTTAAACCATTGTAGTGACTAAATTCATTTTGGATGACCCATGAGAATATTTATCCTGAAACCTGTTTGTATTGATTAGCCTATTACTGCCAAGCACGTGTGGGGGTAACCTTACCAGATACAAAATTTCTTGAAGTAATGGGAAGAGCAGAGAGGGGTCTTCCTGGCAGTTCTATGGCATCATTTTGTTTTGGACACATTGTCTTTATATCACTCAGAAATTCTGAGATTAATACAGCCATTTTCATACAACTAAATAAAAATTTATATTGATAGCACCAAAGGAATTTAAACATTTCAGTAATTCACACTTGTAATTGATCAATTAAAAAAAGGGAACTTCTATCCGGTTCTGAATGATGGTTGCAATGAGTATTATTGAATTTCTAGGCAGTGGCTGTCCATCTCTTTCTAACACCCTACTGAGTACTGTCTGTTTTATCGAAGAATTGACTCCTTCAACAGACCAGCTGCACAGCTGTTCTAATACGTGGCATAGAAATGTCAGCTTACTATCAGTTCACCATTAGTTTTCTACCTTTCTAGTGTTTAATCTCATTAATGTGTTTTTAGTGTTTCATACTTTGTTCAGAATTTATTGTATTAGTCAGGTCACTGGTTAATATACCCATAATATCAAGTATTATGCAGATTGCTCCAACAGTGGGAGTTTTAGTAAGAGGCAATGTTTTTAGGGCAGTGTTCAGCATAATGTCATGGCTTCAAGGTCAAGTCAATTCTCCATTTAGACACAATAAGTACTCCCCACCTTCTCACCCAAATATGGAAACTGATCAAGTTTCCACAACCTATTTTGAATTCCTACACAGTAATACTAATTGGACTGTTATTATAAATCACAACCTTGTAACAGTCTACTGTGTTTGTTTTATGCATATAAACGTAGTGACCAAATGATCCAGAGCCTGATCTAATACTCTCATGATAATAAAATGATCTAATGAACAAACATTCTGTAATTCATTCAATTATTAATTATTTACCAGCTTTTTTGGTCACTCCTATTTTACCCATATGATGCTCATAGCCGTCTCCTTGAAAACAAACCTCACCCTTCCTAATCCTGAGCTAGGCATCAATTTCCATTTAAGAAATGGCACCCAACTACATTACAAGTCAAGTTAGCGGCTACAATCCTGCAGTGGGAGGAACGAGCTGATTACAGTTCCTCTAAGTCCACTACATACAAAGCTGAAATTAAACTTTGTATGTTTTCTTAAAACTGCTCATTATACAAAAAGTTGATGCATGGCATACAACACATATCTCATTAACATCTACAACTTCTGTTTGCAAAAATGTTTCCGTGTCTTGATTATTTGATAAAATACAAGGAAAAACATCTGACTACAGTGGCAACCTGTAGTGTGACTAATTTCAAAACTACAGGTTTGTGCTTGTATGGCCAAGGTAATCACAAAAGAATAGCCTCAGAAATGTGTACTCCAAATTGAAATACACCTCTCCACTCATGTTAGAATGTAACTGTACCTGAAACTGTCTCTTTGGATGTGTGTTTCTTTAGATTTGTCACTGAGAACAAATAGGCATTTCTCCATTAACTGTTTCCATATGCACTTCTTGTCACAAAGAAACATCCAGAGTACTGTAAAAGGAAATGAGTACATCACAAATAATTTCACAGTCTGTATCAAGTGACTACCTGGCTGCTTTTAAGGTAATTTCCTTTTGTCAGAATTTTCAATAGGAACGTAACTTCCATCTTTGTCTGTCCAATACACATCAATTATATAAAGCACTAAATTGTTCATAATATTTTCTTTTAAGGTTGATACAAAACTTCAGAAATCCTAAGTGCTTTTATTATAATTTATCACAGTTTATGGCTACTGAAATGACTGGCTGTGGGCTAGATGACCAGGGTTCAATCCCTAACAGTTGCCATTATATCCTGACAAGCTTTAAGGTCCACCCAGCCTCCTAACAGGTGCTATGGCCCTGTCTCTACAGATGTAAAGCTGCAGGAACATGAAATGACTAACTCTGTCCTTGGTGAGATTTCAGGTTGTTATGGTGGCAAGTTTGAAGATGACTGTCTTCTAGGATGTTGTGCTGTGTTGTCTTGTAGAAACTGACTGATGTTTCAGAGATGCTTACCAGACTACAAAGCGCAACATTCCAGAATACAGTCATCAGTTCTTTCCTTGCTAAGGTTTTGTGTGGGTACAGACTGTATATTACCCATGTTCCGTAAAGTAAAGATATATCTGCACAAACTGAACGTAATTCTGCTGGCTTGATTTGTGATATCTCAGACAGTGAGTGAAGTGTCTCGTTACAGGCTGATCAACTGGGGTTTCAATTCTCAGGATGAGTTGGATGTTCCTCTTGGCCATCATGTCCAGACTGAGACACCCTCCAGTATGTACTGGGGTTTTATAAAATAGAATATGAAGGTGTCCACTCTACATTTACATTTAGCGCTGAGATACATATACATGCCCTACAGGCCTTCATATGAGCCGGGTAGTTCAGTCAGTATAGTGACTGACTATGGACTGGACGACTGGGATTCAATCCCCAGAGGATTTTTCATCTAGACTCTGCATCCAGACTGGCTCTGGGTCCCACCCAGCCTTCTATCCTATGGGTAACGGGGTCCTTTCCTGGGGGTAAAAGGTGGCTGGGGCATGATGCTAACCGCTCACCCCTATCTAGAGCCAAAGTTAAGAATGAGTAAGAGCTATACCTTCACTCCCCCCAAACGCCTACATGGTGTATAGTGGGACAACTTTACTTTTACTTTTACAGGACTTCATAGGATGATGCTTTTGCATAGTCTTACCTCTTGAAGCCCTTCTGTTTTGAGGCCAGTTTCTCACATTTTCCTGCTCCAATATGGCCAGAAGTATCATCACCATCTGTGTTATCTCTTTCTCCATTGAGTCCTTGCAGCTGCAGAGATCAGCTGTGTAAATGTGACTGTAGCGTTCCAATTTATCTGACAACAAACATTAACAATACATTGTTTCTCAAACTAGCCAAAATTGTGTCTGAGCAGTTAATGTCCACCAAAGTAATGTGTGAATTATCTTACCCATTTGAAAATGTTATGCTAAATTATGTAATAACGCAGTTCTTAGTATGTTTTCTGCTACTTGTCATGTTCACACTTTTATATGCACACTGTGAGTGGCACACAACAAACAAAGGTATTATTCAGTATCTGACCATGTGTGTATCAGCATGTAAAATGTCAGTGTTGATGGCTTGTGTTATGCAAACATGCTGGTTAGCAAAATTCTCTAGTTTCTTGGTTCATGAGTTCTTCTCATGTGTACAGAAGACATCCAGTGTCATATCCTCAGATTATAGCTACCATTATGATTGGCCCACTGCTGCCAACCCAGTCTCTGGAAAACGTTTGCTATGAACTGTCTTGCCATACAGCTTGACATCATATTGATTCCAACATTTCACATCGGATGGATAGAATCTTGTACCGACTAGAATTAGTTAAAGTTTTTGGTTTCACACTGGGAGGTAAACTTTATAAATAGTGTACTATTATGGCACAGCATCAAGTAATATGTTTCCTACATGGTTTCCATTTTGTTCTAATATATAGTAGTTGTTAGCACATGTCTCATGTTGTTGATTTTGGAGATGTCATGACACTGAAGTAAATAATCTCTGTACATGGTAGAGTTTGGATCATTGCACAAAGTGCAGTAAGGATGTGGGAGGATGATAGTTTGTTTAGATGAGCTGTCAGTTGTGTCCTGTATATAGTCTGTAGAGTATCACATATTTCTAGGCATATTTTGCCATTGCATGAGCATCATTTAGGCTTCATCCTGTATGCCTGTGATCTGTATGTTATCAATTTTCTCTGAATGCTCTTAAATGAAATTTGGTACTTATTAGAAATCTTATGTAACAGTTATCAAGTAAATTGAATTATAGTTAAAACAGAACAACTTGGATGACTGCTCTACAAAAAATGTCTGAATGCATTTTCAGATATTTTGCAATAAATATTGAGTACATGGGTAAATGTTTGAGACAAAATATAGAGGTTACTTTACCAACGAGGGTCACATCAAAGTGATGCTTGAGTAGAAACTTGATGACATCTTTCGAGTTCTTGGCAAGACACAGAAGTAGATTCATGAAGGCAATTCGGATGACTGCTTCTGGATACTGAAATGATAAATGAGATGTGAGTTTGGTTTCAATGATTAATGACTTTGTGTAAGAAAAAGTACTTTTTGTTGACTGACTATTGACAACACCCTCTGAAATGAAATTTTAATTTTGCAAGGTTCTTTTTACGATTATATTTAATTTTTAAACTGAATGTCCTGTGTTTATAATACCTGAAAAGGTACAATACCTCAAAGAGAGACAGGATGTGTTCCCCTGATTCACAGAGCAACATGTGCTTGCCTGTCAGAGCATTGGTCTCTAGTATGATTTGCAGCAGTTTGTATGCACTTTCCAGAAACACCTCATCCATTTCACACACTGGACCTGCACATACGAACACACTAATAGAAAACAAATATATGACAGCTTTTTGTTGGCCACTATTCACCATTCTGACAGAATTTCTAAAAACAAAAGAAATTGAGGTTACAGTACTGTGTGTACTTGGTGGTACAGTTGTATACATAATATACAGTCTTTCCCACACACCAAAAGTGTTGGTATATAACATATTCAATTTCAAGTGTAATGCAAATGCTATTTGTGTGTATGCATCCATCCTTCTGTGCCCCTACCTTTGTTTATGTCAGTTACGTTCATGTCACTGATGTCAGAGTTGTTTGGGATCACTGACTTTCTGATAGGTAGAGTGGCTGTCATTTGTCAGTCTTGCTGATGGCATCATCTGAGGACTTCCCCATATGGTTATATGGCTAATTAGGGATTCCCCACCCAGTCACTTCCATGGACAAAAGGCATATGTAGGTCTAATTTAATTAAAATCTGTTCAGTGACTCTTGAGTTGTTACATATGGATTGATGAACATGGTGAAGCTAATGTATGCATTTTTGTAAGTTTTAATTGTGAACATGTCAAAAAAGGTTACACTGCCTCTGTGACAAAGCATCACACCATGAAATAGCATAGAGGCATAAATTCATGCATTAGAAGGCATAGAAGGAAATGAGCTGGGCTGTTTCACATTCCACCTGCTTTGCCTTCAGGAAATGAGTCCCCAGTACCAGTTGGACAGGTCTTCCTTGTCTGTTTTAGACACGATGGCAATCAGAAAAAAGCCCTTCCAAGAATAAAAACCCTAGTCATCCAGTAGCTTTACTGACTGGGCTATTAAAATAAATCTTGGAGAAACTGAAGCAAGTTATGAAGTTGTAAACAGGTTTGAATTGGATCAGGATATGGTCCAGGTGTGGACTTCTGTGAACATGACAGTGAATCTATGATTTCCATAAAAAGAAGGAATGTCTTAACCACACAGAAACTAGTGCAGTGAATCTATGATTTCCATAAAAAGGGGGAATGTCTTAACCACACAGAAACTAGTAGCTGCTGAAGGAAAAACAGTTAATACCACTGAGTTACATAGGAAATTAAAAATTATTGTTCTGATACTACACCTATGTGATTAAAACAGTCAACATATCAATATGTCAACTTGTAAGTAGTGTTCACACAGTACCTCGAAGTAGACAAATGCTTATTAGTGGAGCCTGCGATGCCACATGTTCAGGCAGGGAATAAAGCTTGGCCTTTGGAATGTAGCCAAGCAAACCTACATCAGTGGCCCAAAACATTGTCCAATCACCTGTTAGTGTAAGCACTTGACCACGGAGGTACTGCACCTTCAATAATGCCTCTCCCTCAAATGTAGCATCCTATAAAGATAAAAGATCTTTAATGAATATTTCATATGAAGTGGCTTCCCATGTTATCCCCATGCACAAGTCAAGAAAGTACCTTGAAAGAGGATACAGATACCTCCCACATTTTGACTGAGGGGATTCACCATTCAGTCAACATACTGTAACTAATTTGATACCACATAATCTCAATTGTTGATAACAGTTGCAGTGGAACCAATTGTGAGGCCCTGGGCAATACTGATAAGTGAAGGTCCTTAGGAAAAAATACATGTAAAGCATTTTAGGCGATTTCAATTATTATAATTTTAATGATTTGAAAACTACCTCTCCAGAACTGACTTCATTGTTGGAGAGAAGGTAATTCCAATATATACAAGTACATATGTGCCCCTATAGGCACAAAGCCCAGGAGTGTTGCTCACCCCCTTTACTACCACTAGTTGATATAAGTATTTTTAATACCTGAGACTAAATAGTATCACTATCTCAAAGTAAGAAAATGTCACCACATTATATATTCCATGTGCATGTTTTTCCTGATTCATCACTTGAGAGTGACACATAAGAAAATGTATCTGAAGATTAAATTTTAAGATAATAATCTTTGTTAAAAACAGAGCAACAGAAATTGCAGCAACAAAAAAACCCAAAAAATAACAAGTAACTCTCTCACTGCTGATTTCAGTCATTATTGTCATAATTATGTTACAGACTATGCCATTTAGCCTGTTATGACTATATATGTAATGCCTAAAATATTATGTTTTTGAGAAGTTTTAAAATTATATAACTGCATTACAATTAGTGAAATTATATTACTAGTAATATTTTACCTGCCTTTTTAAAAATACAACTGTTGAAACCTGAAGGGTTATGCTGCACTGATGTATCAAACCTTTTGTTGCACTTACCAAGCTCCAGAAGCCATACACAGCTCCAATTAGTGGCTGTGCTGATGTTTTATCCTTTATTCTCAAGTGTTCATGCACTTGGCTGCTGATGTAGATTAGACGTTCCTTCCAATCAGCCTTCGTATACACCAAAAGAACCTTTAAAAGCAGAACTTTTGCAACAATTACATCACTCCAGTTTGCATTATCAACATTCTCACAGCAATCCAACATGGGGTTAGGATTGAAGTTATCAGCAAGTGGCTGTGTGTATTCCTTGCCACTTGGTCGCTTCTTCTGAATGATGTCAAGGTTGATGTTGATGTCATCTGTACCATTTGTGTCATACAAAGTAGTATGATAACCCTGCAATTTCATATTAAGTGATGATGCATCCATTCCAAAACATTTTGCAAATAATGCTAGTGTGTCTGTGCTAGACATTTCCAAAATAGCTCCAACAAGCACTTTGTCTGAAACTGCAGCACACAGCTTAGTAAACGCTGATATGGCATTGTAGCTGCACTGTGTTGAAGCCTGCATTAGCTGTAACAGGACTTCTGACTTATACAAAAATATGGCTCGGATTTTGTGAACAGCCATATTAGCTGCAGGAATCAAAAGTTTGATAACAGGAATGAGAAGGATAAGCTCTGAGATGGATGGACCTGGCATATTTACCCCTTGCCCACATCTAGTGCGCATATAGAGTGCCTGAATGTACGTGAGAAGCAGACCTTCTGTGTAGTACACCAATGGGCTGGAACCTATTATTTCATACAGCTCAGGTCTTTGTATACATGCATTGGCTAAGGATGTTAATAGTTGCATTTTTGTGGCTGCATCATGAGAATCATTTGAGGAACAAATCCTGGCCAACAGGTGGCTTGGATCAATGTTGTCTCTATCAGCATTACCTCCATTACCATTTTTGAACTCTCTTGACTCTTCACTGAACTTATGAAAATAATGTGAATAGCTTTTATTTTTATGTTCCTTCTGCTTGTCAGATTTGACTGTTATTTGCTGGCAGCCTAAAGCTATCTTGGCAAGAAAGTTGAGTGGTTTTTCACTTTTGTTATTTGTTGCTTTGTTTCCATCATTTTCAGTGTCACATTCTGCAGTAAATGACATATTAAATTGGACTTTATTGTCTTTATTTGGTGATGCTGACATCTTGTTTACCTGAAATAAAAGAAAGGGTTTGTCATGTTACCATGAAAAATGAGAAGTAACCTCAGAACTTTAGTTCCTTCTGATGTAACAAGATACTCCCTGCACTGATTCAATACTAGATGGCTCTAGCAGTCAAATCAGGATTGAGTAGAAATTGTGCAGAGTCAGTGGGCTGGTCACTCACTACTCACAAATGCACGCTTCAAAGGCTAGGAAACCTCCAAATAGGAGGCAGCAAAAACCCACAAATGGGTTGTAGAGCCAAGGAACAACAACAAATGGAGTAATTGGATATGGGTAACAATACAGATAAATTTAAGAATAAATAATATATGTGTTGATATAAGGAGAGATGATCACTAATGTCATACCATCCTTTGAAAACAAACTGGAAGAAAGCGTGTATAGTAATGTGCATGGGAGATGACGGCAGAGGAGTATGATGGTGAATGTGAAAGAATGGGAAGAGAGGGTTTTAGATAAGACACTGGATTTTGTTTGTTGTTTTTCCCCTTCTTTTTCTTCTTCTTCTGTCAGACGACAGGTCCATTTGAACAGGATCCTTCCATCCTTTTCTCGGACTGGGACCTCTTCATATACGTTCTTGGCAGAGGATCCAGAAGTGGTTTGCCATTGCCTTCTTCTGTGTGTGAATGGAGTAATTGTTGGGATGCCACGGAGAAACCGGGGAAGTCCCCGGAGGAAAACTCCGTGTTGGCTAGACCACGGCCTTGCCCAACACAAGTTATAAATTCGGGCACCACCAGGAATCGAACCCGAGACCCCAGGATTACAAGGCCAGCGTTCTAACCGCTAGACCACCGTGGCTCTATCCAATTATATGTACACAGAATGCAGCTCAGTGTAGGAATAGAGAAAAGTGGCATGGGTCATGTATTAGTAAATATAATGAAAAATGGGATAGAGCTCTTAAAAATATTGGGCTGAAAATACAATAATTTGGAGCAACAGTGTAGATTGTAAACCCAGTTTTAAGTAAATGCAATTAATAAGCATGGGGTAGGTATTACAAAGGAGTACTGATATAACAGAAATGTAGAAAGTTGGTAACATTGTAGACTGGGTCAAAAGTTAATCTGATATGTAAATAGAATTACAATAGAGTACAGGCTAAGGATATAAAATATATCATTAAGTTACATAAGATGTCAGGTTCTCATGGCAGTGAGTATTAAGATGAATATCTGGCACAAGACCAAGCGAGAAGACCACGAAGAAGGTGGGAGGAGCAGATAAAATGAGGAGTGATGGACAGAGGTGCCCACTGACAGTTGGTGGATGAGGAGGAGTGGTGGAGGGACACGAAGAGATAGAGGGGCTTTACCAAGTGGACCCGGCCCGAGGCTGGAAACAGCAATGGATGATGATGATGATCTTCTGGGATGTTGCAGTGTGTAATCTGATAGAAATTGAATGACACTTCAGAGGTGCTTACTGCCCTCATCACCCTGATGTTGGAGGCAGTGATCACCTCTGAAATTCTGTCAGAGTTACAAGTAGTGATTGTTGATTTACTCATTAGTACAATTGTCAGCCCTTCACATCTGGAAAGGAAATTAATAAATGACGAAGTGTTAAAGTAAACACTAAGACAAACTAATAATCAAGGAAAGAAATTTTAATCACCTTCAAGAATTATACATGAAAGCATGTCACCAAATTTTCCTCTTTTTCACATTACTTTGATGCAAATACTGGGATTACATGACTAGATATCAGCAAATGTTTACCATAATTGTCATCTCAGTGACAGTACCAGATGTGGGCACACTGCTAGAGGATGTTCTGTTTTTGTATTATTTTATGACAGTCATATGTGCACCCTAAACTAGTGTAATTAGTGTGTTAAAGTTTTCTGTACAGAATATGTGTTTTTCATGTACACAGTTATGTTACAAGATGAGCAGGCAGATACATTTTTTTAATACTTCCTTCATTAAATTTTACTGATGGTTTGTGACAACAAAAGCTGCAGTGTTAGAAAATGATTTAAAATCCACTCCACTCTGTGTTCTGAAGGTGTTTTACAATATAGCCCTATTTACACCCTATAGAAGCATGTGTTTGTGCACTAGAGATAAAGTGTAATGTACAGTGTTATGAGACAAACAATCAATTGCCTATTTCAATAACATATTCAGCTCATCAGTGACAACACTTAAATCATAACCAATCTATAAAACTACACAGTTTCATTCAACTTCTGTTATAAAAACACTGCTATTGATTACATCAGTTGTTTCAATTAGAATCACCTCTGAAGAGAGATGACTATAGTCAATGAACTCAAACATAGAAACAAGATATTTCTGAAAGTTATTTCTGTATTTCCAACATAAAAACTTAAAACTGTCACACACGTCTTGTTCCTGTGCCTGAATCGAAATCTGATGAGAATATGGCAGAATGGTCACCCCAGCTGTAAACAGCTCATCAGGACATCATCAGCACACAGCTAATTGCTGTAGATCAGACTGTGAGGTTCTATGGTATTGACCATTTACTGATCCAGATTCCAGGCAACAAGAGGTGGTGATGTGTTGGAGAAAACTGTAAATCTGTTGGGTAGCATGCAAATAATAGAGCTTCCTCTTATGTATGCAAACCAGGTGTGAAACATGCATGTCAGAGCACTAGCTATAACATAATACTTAGACACTATTGTGCAGACCCAAATACTTAATAGCCATTGTTATATATAAGTTGCTTTACCTTCCTTGGATGAAAATTTATAGTGTTTTAATATCTATATTAATTTGGCAATTTCTCCAGCATTGATATTCCGATACATTTTGTGGGAACATTTTCACCACAGGCTTCCCATAAGGTTACATTACGAAAAATAGTAGTATTCGTGGATTACCTATATATGTAGCATTACAACTACTTATTCATGTCATAGAACACTTACACACAAATTTTACGAGTTAGCAATTTCTTGCAACGCAGTTGCACATTAAAATATAATTTATAACAAGGACTGTCAAACGTCCACGAGTAAACAGCGAGGGCGGGAAGTCGGTTCTTTTGCGGTGCAGCGGGAATGTTTCTTATCAGCTGGACTAGAGGGCTGCTATTGGTGGAAGTGTGATAAGCCATAGTTTTACACTACTACACACAGACTGCAAACATCAAGCAGTTGAGAGTAGCGTGTAGTGAGTGCAACTTTAATGTTTTCCGTGGGTATTGTGATAATATTCTAGATTAAATCACTGTGCCACTATGGGGTAATCTTAAAGCTATACGCATTAGAACACATGAAAGCCTGTTGTTCGTTCATTGGTTGTGGAACGAATGCTTTTAGGATGGGTCATCACTCGCCGCGAAATCTTGTGCATGCGCATATATCGAATCGTCATACATTTCGTAGAAAACGAATGGTTTCCGCCAAAAGTTGATATCCGGTTCTAACATTGGTGTATTTAAATTAGGGATAAAATGCGCTCAATATGTATTGGTCTATTTATGTCATTGATTTGAATATGCATCTACCTACCACATTACTAGCTACAAAGTAGACATGTAGATTTTCTGTGGTTTCCACTTCCTTGCACGGATTCGGTGATTGTCCCTCGGACGATAATCCATGCCGCAGAGACAATAGTAGTACTAAGTATATGCACGACAAAATGAAATTGACCTTGATATCTTCACAAGATCTGCAGGCTGCATTCAATAAAATGAACAAATGGGCGGAAACTTATAAACTCCAAATGAAAGGAAATTATGGTGTTCAGGTAGGGCGGCAAAGGACTACACATATTTCGAGGAAGGCAGAATGAAGACAGAAGTTATTACTTTGGAATTACCCGTCGGACTTCTGGCACATCTTCCCATCCACAGAAAAAAATAAGTCATGAATTTTATATATATATATATATGTGTGTGTGTGTGTGAGAGAGAGAGAGACTGTTAACTCTGAAATTGTCCTTATTGCGAGATGTGAAATGAAATGAATGCACCCAGGACAGATCACGTGCCTCTCTGTTCGTTTGATTCAACTCGAGAACCGCTGGACGGATTTGGAAGAAGTTTGATAAAATCGTTATGCCACTGGAGACTACCATAAAATAGTAATTTTCAGTTTTCCTAAATATGTAACAACAAGCTCGTGGAGTGGGATATATTTTCTAAAAATTGAAAATTTTAACAAAACATGGCGACAGCATGATAGAAAAAAATATTTCATTTGACCAAGATTTTATCCCGTCCCCCAAAGTGTACTATTCAGTACGATACGATCCTAATGGCGTATCGGTATTGATTTATATTTGAAGAAATTATGACGACATGATTTGTATAGTTCGAAACCAAAGTTGTCTAAATAAGATAACTGGCCCTAATCTTGTATTACTATATTCCAGCTCGGATTATGCCTTTCCTGTCTTATTGTGTTAGAAAGTGTGAAGGCTATATACCTAAACCGAGCCCTGCAAGTTTCGAAATGGTAAGAGTTATGTATTAGAGGATCAACCTGAACCGAATATCAAAGATGTGGACCATTGACTGCAAAAGTAGGAAGTGGCTAGCTTCATATTTTCACTTGTTTATTGTGCTAATTCATTCTGTGATGGAAGATGTAGATTTCACCTCGTAGTTTGCAAAAATAGAACACTATTTTGACAGACTATAGTTAACACCACTAAAGATGCGCAATTTACATTATAGAATTAAGGTTGTTATTATCTGTGCTTTTGGCGGCACGGGAGGGGGTCGGCAGCAACATCTCTTGCTGCTCTGTACGATGTTGTTTGTGCGAATGGAAAGAATCTCATGTCAGTTTTGGGAGAAGGGCAGCCACTATCATTGCCCATAAACATGGCACAACAAGGTGCAGCTCTGCAGATATGTAATCTGGAACTAGTGAAAGGTGGTTAGTTAAAGTTTTGTACTGTACTGTAAAGTTTTGTGATTACTGAAAATTGTTAACATTGTCACGCTGAAGACCAGTATTTTGTTTAAAGTTACATTTTTACCGAAAGTCGATGGCAGATTGTTTTCACGGATATTCAAGGAACAGCATAGAAGATGTATGAAGAGTTTGGTATTTGAGGGATTGGTTATTGCGTACATTGTGGATGTTCCCACTTCCACACATGTATCACACAAAATTGAAATAATGGGAAACATGGTGTCTCCACTGTAGGTCAGTGGCATTTGTATTTTCACTTCCCAGACAGGAAACTGATAACCACATCATACATCTGGCCATTGTATTAGTGTCTCCTACATACTAAGTATACAAACCAAGTTGATGCTTCATTAATTTTGTCAAGTTTTAAGGAATGAATAGTAGTTTGTTAAAATATATATATGATTATATAACTTAGATTCATTTAAATGTAAGTCCTTATAAAATGTGTATGTATAATTTCTATGTGGTGCACACATTTTGTTTTTATGTTATTATTTCCTTATGTTTACTGTTTTATCCGAAGTTTTAAGTTACATCTTTGCATTCAGGTGGTAACTGGGATGAATTCTGTGGTGATCCTGGCTGGGGCTTCTTGTAGCCCTTCTATATTACACATTACACCCCAGCCTCAGTAACATTTTATAAAGTTAATTCCACCAATTTTTGCTTCCCCATTGCAAAAAGAAAAATTCCATTTCTGTTAACACAGTCTGAACTCAAATGCAAGCTCAGTACTGATGGAGTTAAAACTGTGTCTTCTGCGATACTGTAGTCCAGTTAAGGGTTCAGCAAAAGAATGGTTAAACACTTGCAATGCATT